CCTGTTTAAAAGACCGGGGAAGAGTGTGAGGTATATCAATAAGTCCGTAGCCCACTGATCTAAAAAAGCATTTATTTAACATTTAATATATAAAGCTAATAGTTGTCACCTACTTAAAACCATCAAATATTAAAGTCGGTCATCTGTTCGAGTGAGTGTGATACACGTTTTTTTATGGGTTATCAACCTTTTTGTAGGTTCTTTAAAGCTAGAAAATATTTTTAGGCTGCAAGAAATTTTGGGAGATAATAATTATTTACTGATACAAGTCCCACTAGTTAACCCATAGCTGGAGGGAGAAGGGTAAGTGAATAAACCAACTGAAACTCGGTTCTTCGATTTTCAATTTCTGAGCCGTTATCTATTACACCACACACACATTCAAGCTTACGACACCTGGTTTTCCTAAACGGTCAACCATCTGGGTATTGACAAGGCTCGACGTTGCTTAACTTCGGTGATCATACAATAACCGGTGTTTCAACGTGCCTGTGCGTTTGCATGTGTGTGGGTGTCCGCGTGCATGCGCGCGTGTGTGTGTGTATTTGTGTTTGCCCAGGTAAAATCGTGGTATCAAATAAATTCGGTTTTGTACTTCTCAGAACACCTGACTCATTTCCAAGGCCTTTTTTAACGTTGGTGTCCCACGCGTACACGGCAGGGACCAGAAGCCAAAAAACGCTCCATACTCTTCGGTACTTCTCCTCTTCTGAGCGGAGCCTCAGAAGCCTAGTAATGATACTTGTTCCTATCGTGGGATTAGGTGCTGTATGGGAGATAGCCACTCTCCACCACTCGGTCCTGAACTAAATAATAATTGTAAATCCATAAAAATTCAAGTTTACTTTTACCAGCATATGTCTTATATCTTGACCAAACTAATGAAAGGCAACTATTTTTATATTCAGTTTAAAAAATAAGTTATAAAAATAATAGTTTTGTTATTCATTTGAAAACTGGCCTTTTGGAATTTTTATTGTAATTTTGATGGCTTTTATATTTCAGTTGTTTATTTAAAACAATTTTCTGAAATGAAAGTGGTGACTCCCTTAGAATTTAGATCACTGTTTGTGATTAAATGAAAAACAAAACTCATAAGAGTTCATTCGCTTGAATCCATTTTTAATCATTGATCTGAGAAAACAGTTATATATAGATGACACTTCAAACATTTCTAAACAATTGAACGCCATGTTATGGGATCCATATTAGTCTAGATTTGACACAGCAAATTTAATACCATGGCTAGAGTTCTCAGGTTAATTTTTTTGCAGTTTTTGGATAAAAATCTACTCGTAGCTCAGCCGATTCTGGATTCAATTTCCTTATTTTTAATCCTAAATTGGTTATGATTGAGCCATGCACCAAAATATTTAAAATGTTTAATATTTATTAATTCTACACCCTGAAGTTTTATAACGGATTAAGGTAGGCGCACTCGTTGCTTTCATTTTAATTCCAGACTATAATTTCGGTTTTGGAAAGTGTGTCAATATTCGTATCAACTCATAGTTTGGATTAATAATATTCCAAAGGAAAACAATGGAACACAAGATTAGTAAAAAAAACTGTTTAATCTCGTGTATTACTATTACAATACTAGCAATTATCTTAATTAGTGCAACTCCGTGTGACTGCTTTCGTAGTCAATTGTAGAGTCCATGTTCAACTCTTCGTGTCGGTCGCCTTTCTATACAACAGAAAGTTTTATCTTGATTCATATTTATTGAAAGACTTAGTAAAGAATTCTGGTTTTGTTTTGTTTTTGTTTTTTGTTTTTTTTTTTGTTCTCAGATAATTCCTAATCCTAGCTATGAATATCTATGTGATCGGCATAAACACCCCCGACTACTCCTCACCCTCATCATCAGTAGATTGGCCTCGGGAGGGAAAGTAGGATCGTTGTTTTCTATTAGTAGATTCGTTTGAGATGTGGAATGGAATATTTAAATGATCAATACCCACCTTTTTCACACTTATTCTTGTATAGTCATAGACGAGGAGAAATTAAATCCCTTTTCCTCCTTGCCATATTTCTGATGAATTTAGAAATGATTAGGCGTTTCGTTCTTCAACAGACATATACGAATTTCTGAGCCGATATAAATACATTTATCAGATGTAGAAATAGAATGGAATCAGAGCTTGGAAGACGGATTATTGCGATGAGAAGAAGTAGTTCTTATTGATGGTTTGGTCCTTTTTTTCGGCGGCATATCAACACCTATATGGGTTATGTTAGGTACCTCCACGAAATCGCTAAAAAAGAGCATAGCTTGATGAAAAAGACGCCAACCTTGCCGAAAACAAAATTTTATTGTCTAAATGCTTATGTTATTATTAAGAGGAAAGACCAAAGTTTTTTTTAATTATTTTTTAAAAAAATTCATTCTTTTTAGAACATTCTAAATTTTGATTAAAAAAACCTTTTTTCTATTTGTATCAGCGGAACTAGTAAATAACATAGACAATTTTTAGCACGTTTTTTTTTTTTTTTTTGGTATGACACACATTAATTTGAAAAATCGTGCAAAAATAGAAATAATTATCGGATGTTAATGAAACTTTCAGGAACTATTCACAGATGATCGAAATTATTATAAATATGTTTTTTTTTATGAAAGTCATGGTAGAAATATTTTTTTAAAATATTTATTACCCCCCATAACTAATTTTATGAAAACGCTAGAAATTCGATCGCATCGGTTTTAGTGATTACAATAATTAAAAGCACAGGGCTTTGAGGAATGCAAATCATGTTTTTTTTTTTAGTTTTAATTGGATACGCAGTACCTGAAAATCAGCTCTGAATTGTAACATACAAAACTCAATAAAACAAATATATTATTTAATTCCAAATGCTTTTATTTGCTTTTTAGTTGTTTTTATGAATATGGACAATATTTTCTGAAAGCAAAAAAAATTTTCGATAAAAATGAATTTTTAATACAATTATTTGTTATTTCATTAATTATAATACATTTTACATTTAAGTTGTTAAAATATTATAAAATTAGTTAAAAGCCGCATCGGCTTTCATAAGTGCCCTTATGAGATAGATTTTTTTTAGCGCGTTGTAAATTGTATCATTTTGACTAATCAGAAGATACCCAGTAATTAAGAAATGTAATTTTGTGCTTATAATCGAGCTGTAATTATAAAATACGGAAGACCAACCAGAATATAATTAAGTTGCGTTACTTGAGTTAAGCATTGTTCTCCGCTGTTAAGGCCTTTACTTTTTGCGAAACACGTGTGGAGAAGTTAATTTGATTTTTCAATTTCAACTGAGAAGGGTACCTACAAGTATCAGTATCATCTTATGAAATTTATATGATCTTATTTTTATATTAATCTCAGTTACGACATTTTTCCATAAATGAAATATCAAAATGAATAATAAAATGAATGCAAATATAAATAACAGTAGAATGTAATAAATGTACATAAAATTATAGTATTTTATGTACAATTCTGATAAAATTTCATAAGAAAGGTACCTATAAATTAATTAGATACCTTTCTTAAGAAATATGAAATTTAATGTCACTCTTAACAGTTTTATTTTAATTTCTTTACAATATATTTCCCATAAAGCATCATAAACGTAAAGGTGAAAGCTAAGTACCAAAAAAAAAAAATTAGACCGCTGAAAGTTTTCGTTAAAAATAACGGGGTAAATAATTTGTTCACGTAAATGTAAATTATTTCCTTTTCTCCTTCCGTAGAACAAATTAGCCTCATGGAATTCGTAAATATATCATTCATCACATGTCAAGAGACGCGAAAATTTATGACCTGCTTTGTTTTATTTTCAAATTACATCTTTGTGGCACAAAAGCTAAGTTAAGTTTGGTTCAAAATATTTTAAAAAAACATTATAATTTCTGATTTTCTTAAAATAAGTTTTGAAAAAATGATAATTGATATTTAAAAAAATTTCAAAGTCAGATTTCCAGTTTTTTTTTTTTAATGGAAAAAAATGGTCAATTTTGCTGACTCAAAAAAAACTAGATTTTTAACGAAAATTTTGGACGTGCTAGGAACGATTAAAAATGGAAAAAATACCCCAAAATACTTTGACCTTTCCTCTTAATAATAACAAACATTTAGACGATAAAATTTTGTTTTCGTCAAGTTTGGCGTCTTTTTCATCATGCTATGCTCTTTTTTTAGCGATCTCGTGGAGGTACCTAGGTTATGTAATGTCGAAATCTATATATCTTGAACGCTGTTTTATGGCTTCAAGTACATATATATTGTGCATATAATTTTATACAATCATGACAAACGTTTACTTTATAGATAAATAGTTTGTAGATTATCCACTGTAAGTGTTATATTATTTCTTTGGCTTGATTGCTTTTTGTTTAACGGTATATCAACATCTATATGGTTTTTTTGATGCCGAAATCGAAAGATGAAAATTCAACTTCATAATTCAAGAGAATGATGTTATTTCATTATTAAATTTGCATTAATTAACAGCATTTTTTATAATTACTAGTCTCCATTTTTTACTGAATAAACTTACAAAATTAAACGAAAACAGAAAACTTATTTCTTCTTACAAGAAATGAAATTAATCATAATTTTTTTTTTTTTTGTCTTTTTAACAATGTATATCATGTCTTCAATTTTATTATAGAAATGTATAGTTGGTCATTTTACTATAAAATGTACTGCTGATAATTTCACTACAAAAACGTATTCTTGGTAATCTTTTAATAAAAATGTACTGCTGGTAATTTTTTACTATAAAATATATTTTTATACTTTCGCAGTGTTTTGATTTCTGTTTAGGGGTTCGCTAGTTGCCCATAACTAACAGATGCTATCACTCACTTTTGAATTAATGAGTAAAGAATATAAAAAAAGTTGAAACCAATTTAACAATTGCGTTAAATAGTTAATTTCCATCATATATTACAGTATTTAAAAATATCTCTACGTCTAAAAACAGTTTAAATTTTAATCTTGCGTTATGACTCTGCTTTGGAATGTGGCCGCCCGCCCGCCTAACTAAACCAGATATTAGCGTCTGCTTGTTTTTGTTCAACGGTATATCAACCGCCATGGGGCATTTATACCGAAATCTTAAATATGCTGTACACAATTTTATTTATTTATTAATTAACCCATGGCTGGGAGAGAAGAGGTGGTTTTATAACTTTCCCAAAGGATTTTTTTCGCGTAATTGAATATAACACAACTGGAATTTGAACTCGGCTCTCCGATTAACAATTCCGAGCTGTTATCCATTACACTACCTGTGCATCCTAAACTCACCCATCTAGATACTGACCAGGCTCAACGTTGCTTAACTTCGGTGATTCTACGTGATGTGTCTGTAATCTCCAGACATTGCTTAACCAAGACAATTGATATTGGATATCGTTCAACCTTCTGATGTTTCGTGATTTCATGAAATGTCCTGGCGCCTCTAAGTCACAAGATAACGCCTTTTTATTTCAAAGGGAATCGTTTAGCTATAATTCTTCTCAAACAGGAAAGTTTAAAGCTTGTGATATCTCGACTTTGCTTTTTATGAGCCAACAAGCAAAATATCGCATCATAGGATTCCACGCGACCTTGCTATTAAATTTCGGATTGCAATAGTCGAAGAACGCTTTGATATTGTTTTAAATCTGACTTCCTCTTTGCCGTGCTTGCAGAACTTCTCTACTACCACAGCTTAGGTCGTGACATTCAATGAACCATGCATATGTCGCTGTTGTCACCCAGAACATCCGGACGATTCTACGCCGTGATCAAAAGAACAAGCCAATAAAACCGATGCAGAAGATAATAGTTTGTACACGAGGAACTTAGGAAAGATATTTTTATGTCTTGATTGATGAACTTTACAAGGAAAAGTCTATTTCTCTGGACAGCTTTAACTTCTTTTACGACTTCTAAAAATATGCGTGCAGCAGTTTTATGTTTGAAAGTTTTCATTGCTTATAAGCAGACGAGTTTATGTACCCAACTACATAAGTCACGGATAACAACTTTTGAAAGGATTTATTGGGTTGTTCATAAAATAATATCCGATTTTAGAATAAAGCTTTCAATTGTGTTCTATTAAAAGGGTAGGCTGAAAAGTTCAAAGGCTGACGATGACGGATTGATGCTAGAACTGTGAAATCCGGCATGTATTCATTTTAACTCATCTTATTAATAATTCCATTGTTTTTGTTTTGTTTTGTTTATTTATATATTTATTTGTTTGTTTGTTTGTTTTTTCAGGTAAACTGATATCTGACTGTTGAAAGAAGACTTCAAAAGTAACTAGTAGCGACTTCTCTTGAAAATGGACAAAATTTGGCATCGTCTCGGATTGAAGAATCGGAGAGCCGAGTTCGAATTCCAGTCGAATCCATTGCATTCGTTTACGTGCTAAAGCCCTTCGGAAAGGCATGAATCCTCTTCTTCTCATGCTATGGGTAAATAGCAAGACAGACCGGGTTCTGTAGCCTTGGATCTCAATTGGTCTACCGCAGAAAGAAATGGCAACTACTGCAGGGAAAATATCTGCCTTGTCAGTCATATATTGAAAGATACATGATCGCCTAAGCGTGTATCAAGCATAACACATAACTGAACTGACTGGTGTTATTATGTACCTGCAGAAAAATGATTTAGTCTCCGAGGATAGTTACGACATACTTACCTGGCACATGTCAGAGGGTATTCCCCGGGCGAGGCTATGTCCGAAGGTCAGAGTCTCGTTTCGGGAAACTGACTCAATTTTTACGTGGTCTATAGGGATTTTTTGCCCGAGCCTACGGGGTCGGATACCCCACTTTAAAACTCGGCCTTGTGCAACATCTTGCTGCGTGGGGCAGTGAGTAAATAATGACGACATTAAGAGATAATGATCGAGCTTTATCAACAGTGCAAAAGTAGGAAGCTAAATTTAGGAGGTGATGGGAGATTTTTGAAGATGATTCAAGGTCTTGATGTCCTACAACTGCCAACACCAAGGGAAAAAAAATTGATCCTGTTCACGACATAGTGACGGATAATAAGAGGTTAACTATAAATTAATTGGCCAGTGATATTAGCATATCCCGCGAGTAAGTTGAGAATAATGTGCACAATGAACTTGGCATGACGAAGGTTTCCGCTCGTTGGGTGCCACAGCTTTTCACACCTGATCAAAAATGCACTCGCTGATCACATTACGGCAAAATCTGACATTGTTTGAGGCAGAGCTAGTTGGTTTTCTTGAATGTTTCCTAACCCTGGGTAAGTGTTTGGTCCACCACTGAGGCAGAGATACTGAGACAATCCAAACAGTGGAAACACCCGCTCTTCACCTGCTCCAAATAAGGACAAGGCTGTTTCATTTGCTGAATACGACAGCCTCAGTTTTGTGGGATGAAAAAGGCATTGTGTTTATTGACTATCTTCAGAAGGGCCACATTATCAATTGAGAGTACTATGCCAAGTTACTGAGGCAGTAACGAAAAGCCAAACGACCATGAAAATTAACTGAAGTGGTTTTGTTTCTTCAGGACAGTACTCCATCACACAAGTCCTTAGTTTCAATAATTGGTTGATCGCTCTTCCTATTCTCTTGATTTGACTCTCATATGTTCCCCGACATGAAAAAAAAAAAATTGGCGGGCAACCAGTATCACGGTGGTGATGACTTTTTGTAGTTGGAATTAATGCATGCAAGTTATTACAGATCTACCATCTCTGCTTCACCTTTCACCTCGTATATTATTATAATTGTTAGACAAAAATATATTTATCATTCCTAACGATTAAAGGGTCCTCTTTGTTAATTTTATATCAATCGCTTTCAGAATGGAACTTAAAACATTATATATCCCCCTCATCATCAAAAAAGAAGAGATACGTTTACTTTAGTATCTGTCTTTATTTCTGAGATGAGGTATGTACATTATTTACACTATTGCCCTCATCTTTGTCGCCATATTTAGTATAAAGTTTCGGCCCCTTCAGTATCTGTCTATATTTCTGAGATAAAGTATTATGTACATTATTCGGACTATTGAACTCACCTTGTCGCCATATATATTACAATGTGCCATGTTTAATGGATGTCAGTTATCAGTTATATCCTGTTAATTTCCCTCTGAAAGTTATTCACTGCCTTAACCGGGTATTGAACTCACACTCTTTGGGTCTTGTCACTTGATCTAACTAACGCCTTCATCCACTGTGCCGCGTCCTTACGGACATCTGCGCATCAATTTCTGGGTATTATAACCCTAATGTCTTCAGCGACCAGTGAGCGAAATAAAGGGTTCATATTCCAGCCACCTGAAGAAGGCCGGAGTGTACAACGGCCGAAACCTTGTAATAAATATGGCGACAAAGATGAAGACAATAGTCCGAATAATGTAAATAATATACGTTTACTTATTTTTGCGTGAGTTCAAGCCTTGTCATGATGCTTCTCAAAATACTAACATTAGCAGAGCAAGTAGTAAATGATCCACTTATGATCGTGCACTACAGCGCTTGTTTCTGAAGCTCCGCAGTGGGGATACGAGTCTTGAAGATCAAGGTGGTAGAGAACGTCCATCTACAATTGACTATCGACATTTGTAAACACTAGTCGAACAAAACCCACGTCAAAGTGTCAGAGAAAAATCACAGATCGCGTGTGTCAGCCTTTCAATATTATCGGACTATCTCAAGAAAATTGGCCACGGTGAAAGACGATAAATAGGCCCCACATGGACACAGCGAAAGTCAAAGAGATCGATGCCTTGAAGTGTGTTCAATGCTGTATTTGCAAAACTCGAATGACTCATTTCTTGATCGAATAGTTGGTTGGTTACTTTAGTTTAACGGCATATCAACACCTCTATGGGTTATTTAATACCGAAATCTAAATATTTTGTACGAAATTCTGTTTTCCTTTGGCGATAATAATGGTTTCAGTGATACAAGTCTTACTAATTAACTCTTACCTGGAGGTAAAAAAAAAGTAAAAAAATAAAAAAACACTGACGTTTCATTTTAACAGATATATTTACTAACATTGCACAAAAATATCTTGAAATACTAGAGAGTAAATTTATTCAATAAAAACGCCATTGACTTCAATCACGGCCTCTAGACGACTTCGGAATTTCCCGCATTTCTTCTAGACCGTTTCCTTGTTTAAGATGGTGAATGCCGCCATAATCCTTGCCTTCAGTACATCTTTGGTGTTACAAGGAGTTTTGTTGGTCTCCCTCTCAACTGCGCCCGATACATAATAATCAAGGGAGTGCAATCTAGGGAGTTAGGTGGCTAGATGTAAGTGGTGATGTGGTCGCAGAAATTGCCTGACAGCCATGACTGGGTTTTGGATATGGGGTCATCCAGCAGCCACTCTCTTGACTCATTGTAGAACTACCTCCTCAAGACACTTGTTGTAAGCCTCCGTGTTGAGTCTGAGGCCCACAAAAACAAATTCGTGAGTTCTTTTCTTATGCGAACGATCAGAGTGAGTTGCCGTACCTTCGTAATCACCATAAGACTCATCTAACTCTTTCCGAATGCTCTTCACTGTCCTCAGATTAACATCCAAGCACTTGGAACTATTGGAACTTCCGGCGCGAATGCCAAGCAGTACAGCGCACCGTTTCCAAATTTCTAGTAGAATGAATTGCGGCATGGTGCTTTTTTTTCTCACAGACGGTTCCCAACATATCCTACTATACCGTGCCGTTGACAAAATCAAAAACAAACAACGCGCATGCGTGAAATCAAAAATATAAATGGCGACAATTTACCCATCGCATCCTGTATATGTGTGTGTGTGTTTGGCTGTGTGTGTATATGTCTGAGTGTGAGAGAGAGTGAGAGAGAGAGTGAGAAACAGAAAGAGAAAGAGAGAGGGGTTCACGCGCGTGTTCTTGCATTTTTCTTGGTCATTTTCTTCTCCAGAAATGCATATCCTTAACAATAACAGGCATTGCAAAGATCGCTATATCTCAGCATCATTTTATATAGACTCGTTACATTATATTCTAATATACGAAACCCACCTACAATGATTCAGATATGAAAACACACAAAGGCCTAATACATGAAACACATTAGGCAAAAGCTTAACACACCAAAAAGTTTTCCTTACACTTGCTGTTCAAATCAGCAGTCATTCAGGGAACAAAATATCATATTCTATTCTCTTCACAAGTGGATTTTGGACGGACAATAGCAAATGCTGTGCGAAAATTGACGACCCTGCCCTAAGAGTACTTAACAAAGACTGACGCCAGCCATATTTGGGCAGGAAATCTCTTTTCTTTATGCCCTTGAATCAATTTATTGGAAGACACAAGCAAAAAGTGTGCAATGTCGCTTCTGCCAGACTGAAATGGGAAGAGAGAAAGAGAAGGACAAAAAAAAGAATGAGAGACAGGGAGAGATTAAACAGATGGGCAGACACAGGCGTAGACGCATTTGCTAAGAATGTTTTTCGGATCAAACGAACAACATCCCGATCTTTACCTATTCTTCTTCTTCTTCTTCTTCTTCTTCTTATTATTATTATTATTATTATCATTATTATTATTGTTGTTGTTGTTGTTGTTACAATCGAATTCAAATTCCGACTTGTTTTGTTGCTTTCATTTTCGCATTAATGCCTTCATAAAAGTTATGTACTGATTTCCCCCTCCACCTCCTCAGGTATTGATAAAATCGTAAGGTAGACTGGGATATCCAGCCAATCTAGGACAAGAACAGCTCTAAATTTAAAACGGTGGAGAAGTAAACCATGACAATTCAACGGAAGTTGTGGAGCGTCATGATCCTGGAGGTACATATTATTTTGAAAATAACCATCTAGTTATTTTTTGCTGACGATCAAGTGACTCTTCAATAATCTACTTCTCTCTTATGTATATATATATATATTAAGTCATGTCTCATTGAATAATTTATGCAAGTTATGTCTAATTATTTTTAATTGGATCCTCTCATATTCACAGAGAAGCTTCTTAGTGTCCTTATTAAAGGAAGAGAGAAAATTACCATGTTGAGACGTATTCATTTACTCCAAGTACTTTCGACATTAGCACAATGTCATCATCAGTTCTTTCTAATACAAAAATTGTTGTGTTCATTACTTTTCTGAGACAACATTGTTATGTTCAGCTGAAAGTTAAATTTGTTAGCTCTGAAGTGAAAAACGCTAAGGATTTGTACTGTACGATTTAAATTTCACGATGTAAACACACACACACACACACACACACACACACACAGACATATATATATATATATATATATATATATATTGTCCTCAGTTGAGCTCTAAAGAGCAAGGTTAGCGATTTTGTTGCTTCTTTTTGTTATATTTTTTAATTCAATTTTACGGTGAGTAGTCGTTGTGTGCATATTTTTGTTTTTGTCCTCGACTGAACTCTGAAGAGCGAGGAACAATAATCGGCTAGCCTTTTTCTTGTTTCTCTTTTATATGCTTCGATTCACCATTTTACAGTGTGCACCTTTTTTAGGTGTTGTGCCGATAATAATGTTTTTGTCCTCGATTGAGCACTGAAGAGCGAGGAGTTATAATCGGTTATGTTTTTGTTGTTTCTTTTTTTATTATATTATTCGATTCCCCACTTTATGGTGGACAGTTTTTTTCTTATGCTTGTCTCACTACTCCTCTGTATTAATATATCTATATCTATATATGCTAGCAGTACCCGTGGAAATTACGCGGATTTTGTAATGTTGGACTTTTCAACGCATGACTATTCCCAGAAAGAGACATATTCTCTATTAAAAATACTGAAATGCTCTCAACCGATTATTAGGTCATGAAACATTATTTAACCTGACACTAAAAAAACAACAGACTTTTATCTATGTTGACACTTCTTCTTCTTCTTCTTCTTCTTCTTCTTCTTCTTCTTCTTCTTCTTCTTCTTCTTCTTCTTCTTCTTCTTTCCCGTCCTGCTTCTTTTTTTTTCTCCTAGTCCTCTCCCTCTTTCTTATCTTTCTTTTTTCTCTCTCTATTTCCTCTTCCTCCTCCTGCTTCTTCTTCTTCTTCTTCTTCTTCTTCTTCTTCTTCTTCTTCTTCTTTATAACTGTTCACATTCTTATCCTCGTCTTCCTTTCTCTTTTTATCCTCGTCGTTGTCTTCTTCTTCTTTTTCTTCTTCCGTCCTCCTTCCTCTTTTTCTCCTCGTCCTCTTCCTTCTTCTTCTCATCATCTTCTAATTCTCATCTCCTTCTTCTTCTTCTTCTTCTTCTTCTTATAATTATTATTATTATTATTATTATTATTATTATTATTATTCTACTGGTACTATTCGCCATATCTCTTAACTTTTTTTTCTCTTCGTCCTCTTCTTCTTTTCTATTATCTTCTTCCTCTTCTTCTTCTTCTTCTTCTTCTTCTTCTTCTTCTTGTTCTTCTTCTTCTTCTTCTTCTTCACCATAACCTTTCTCCTTCTTATCCCCGACCTTATCTGATCGCCGTACATAATTTATTTGTCCGCTTCTTTGCCAAAGACTTACACCCCAGCGTTCAGACAGCCTGTCGTCGCGACCGGCAGAGAAGCCTTACAAAAACCCATCAAATGTTTCGCGAGGGTCACAATTCCGTCTTGTGGCAATTTCCTTGATATCATTATACTTTCAAATGAAAGAGTCGCCAAGAACAACCGTCCACGACTTTGTTTCGCCATAGAATTTATATGCATTCCCAAAGCAGGTGAAGGTAGATAGAAAGAAGAAAGAAAAGTCAACAGTAAACGTCAGCAGAGGAAATCTGCGCATGCGTATCTTTTCTTCCTTGCAGCGTGCTTTTCTTGGATAAGTTTGCCGCGTCTTTAAACCGGGGCTTAGAGGAAGGGGGTCTTGATCATTTGCAAAAATGGCACATTTAGATTTTTTCCCTTTTATTGGAGATTTTCATTCTGAAGTGATGGAGAGGTTCGCTTTAATTGAAGCACTGTTCGTAGGAAGTTTTCAATCCCATATCCAGAGAATATACATTTGCATCCACCTCTCAATAACATCGAAGACCTCATCTGGGTTACTTATGCCGAAGGCTTTTCATATGAATTTAAGTCTACCTTTTCCTTTTGCGTATTTGTTTGTTCATATCAACCTCCTCTCTCTCTCTCTCTCTCTCTCTCTATATATATATATATATATATATATATATATATATATATATATATATATATATAATTATTTATTCGAAAATTATAACATAAATATATTTATAAAATTACCATTTGTTTCAACACTTCTGGTGTCTTATCAAGTGATGATGGTGAATGTAGAATAAAGGGAAAAAATCTTTATTCTCCATTTTTGTTAAAAAAATGGTGATTTTATAACATATTTATTATAATTTTCGAATAAATAATTATATATATATATATATATATATATATATATATATATATATATATATATATATATATATATAGAGATAGAGAGAGAGAGAGAGATAGATATAGATATAGATATATATATTTGTAGTGATTTTATAACATATTTTTGGTTATTGGAATTTATTCCGTATACACCAATCTTATTCATAATTTCTTAACATATGACGTCATTTGTTTACATTCGATACGCCAGAGCAGTTATGAATGTACGAGATTCATGGAAGATTGTAGTTTATAACAGTAAATTCGACCTTGTCTACCATAAGGTTCATGGTGGCCGAGTGGTTAAGGCATGTCAGCGTATATGACAGTTCCGTATAGGATGCAGGTTCGAATCCTGTCTATGAACGAATATTTTCTATGAAAATTTCTCGGACATTCAGGCCGGTAAATGTTATTTAATACTGTTTATCTTAAACAGAGCATTTGCTTAAATACTTGTATCTATAAAATAACAACGTTAAATAAAAATGTCTTTAATAAATATATATATATGTGTGTGTGTGTATTTAGGCAGCATATCTATTCAAGAATGTTGCGGTGAATGATATAGACATATTATGGTGAAATTCCTCAAGGAACGCACAATTTGTTTTTGTCTTCTGTTAATCCAAGTACTGTTTTTGTAAACAAGCGTCCACAATATAAGGGGACTAATCAGACGGTCACAACCTTATCAAGACATCTTACACTCCATTTGTCAGATATATAAGTCCTATCGTACAACATTTAATGACATATTCGTGTCCACTTTCAAAATACAGGAAAATACTTGTTGACAACTACAATATACTACACCAAGAAAATAATAAGCAAAAACATCAAATTCTCGAAAACCTCTATATCAAAAGTTACCAACATTGAACAAAATTGTTACGAGTACAGTAGCAAAGTTTTAAAATGTATTTGACCAACATTTAATGCCATTTGCATTTTCACCATCTCTGGTTAGCTCCCTTATATTGTGGCCGCTTGTTTACAAAAAACACCATACCCTAGGTATAACGTTTAATTTTCAAATAATTATAACAGCATGTTCATACTTGTTTACAAAAATCGCCATTTACAACGATCACATTTACAATAAGTTTGTCTTTGCAATTTACCCCTGAACATGATCTCAGTATCAATTCAAAGATTATCTTTCTTAAATTAACTACAAATATTTTTAATTTCTTTAGTTCTTCTTTCGTTCGATTCCGCATGTTAACGCAGTAATTCTGAAAGCGGAACTTGATTGACAGCCTCTTTATTCATCTATTTTTAATCAAGTGTAATTAATTCGGCTTTGACGCTATTCTTAGAACGAAGTTGACAGACGATGTGAATTTCATTCGAGATAATAAATGAAAATAGCAAGCGAATCAAACGGTATTCATTATTTTTTAATTAGTCAGGGAACTGAAGCAAGTATAGAATGAATCATTTGAAATCATTTGAAATTACTGCCAATTTTGAAATCACAATTTCATTTAACGTCTTACGAGTCAAACTGAACTCCCTGGTAAATTATTTGAAGAAATATCCTTTCCTTTTAATTAATATTCTTTTTCATTTATACGCATTTCTTTCTTCTTTCTTATGTTCTCTATTTTCTTTCTTTCTTTTTTTAATCTCTCGTCCTCATAGTCTTTCTTTTTCTTTCTTTTTTTTTCTTTCTTTTTTTTCTTTCTTTCTTATTGCTTTTATTGGTTTTCTTTCTTTCTTTCTTTCTTTCTTTCTTTCTTTCATATTGCTTCTATTTGCATTTCTTCCTACCTTCCTTCGTTATTGTCAATATTTCCTTATTTTTTTCTCTCTCGTCCTGATAGTGTTTCTTTCTTTCTTTCGTATTGACTTTATCAGTTTTCCTCTTTTTCTTTCTTTCTTTCTGTCTTTTTTCTTATTACCTTTATCCGTTTTTCTCTCTTTCTTCCTTTCTTTCTTTCTTTCTTTTATATTGCCTCTATTTGCTTTTGTTCCTTCCCTTCTTCCTTCCTTCCGTCCTTCCTTATTGTCTCTATTTCCTTTCTTTTTCTATCTCTCGTCCTGATAGTCCTTCTTTCTTTCTTTCTTTTTACCTTTATCTGCTTTCCTCTTTTTCTTTCTTTCTTATTGCTTTAACCGTCTTTTCTCTCTTTTTCTTTCACATTGCCTCTATTTGCGTTTCTTTCTTTCTTTCTTTCTCTCTTCCTTCTTTATTCTCTCTATTTTCTTCCTGTCTTTCGTCCTGATTTACTTTCTTTCCTTTTATTGTCTCCATTTGCGTTTCTTCGACCTTAGCAATTTCCACGACTGTTGCACGCTCTTCCACATCGGTAGCAGAACATGTATACAAAGCTATCAGGCTCGTTTAAAGTGAGGCGCAGCATGACTATCTTTGAAACCAAAGTGCTATGAATAATCGACGTGGGACGATAACAGTAAGGTACCCTCGTTGCAGTTTTTCGTTGGGTTTTTCTTCACTTAGGACGGTTGCAGAGGATTTTCGCCTCTTCGAAGAATTGGTCTGACTGTATGGATAATGTAAATAGGTCAAAAGGTCATAGTGACCGAGGGGTTACAATGCTCGCTTTCTGATCATGGAACCTGGTTTCGAATCTCACCATAGTCGACTATATATATATATATATATATATATATATATATATATATATATATATATATATACATATATATATTATTATTATTATTAATAATACCAAAATCCGTTACTCATGTTTCATGTACCAAAAATCATCAGGTGGATCTACAGAGCCAAGTTATTGTTTAACTTATATACTCCAGGTGTGGCAGGTAATTCCTGTGTGTTTTTTAATCAAATATTTATTCTCGTGCCAGTATACAGCCATAAGTTCAATTCTCTTATTCAACAGTTAATCTCCCATGTTGCTGCTGCGGGATTATTATTTTTTACGCCAGGTATCTTCCATGTGATGGTAGGCGCTTGTTCTGTGCTCGCAATGGTGTTCCAATAGTAGATAGCGTAGTGCTACCGTTGTATTTACTGTTTACAGACTCATTTTGTGATTGTAGTATCGTCTTCTCGATTCACCCTAGGCAGCTCCTACATAGTCTCTCCACCACTTAGCGTCATAGACAACGTCCTTTACCAAACACGCTCCATTAAGAGGGCATTCCTTTTTTACTATGCAGTTACATCTACCGGGTTCTTTGCTATCAGGTCTCTCCATTATTTTTCTATTGTGATTTATTATAATTTTATATATCCTGTTGGTGCAGCTATAGCTTACTTTCAGATTATTTCTGTTAAATAACTTGTTCAATGCCAGCGAATTAGTAAAATGCTTATGAATTAATTAAGACACTGATGAGTTAGAGGACTGGTGATCGTATGTATGTACTCATCTACAGAATTATAGCCTGATTTTGAATGGGAATCTTATGTCTGATGTAGCTTCACTAGTGGTCGGTCAGCAAGATTCACAAATAACAAAGGATATCTTAGTGCGATTAACAAGGAACTGGAAGCGGAGCGTTTTTACAGCGTATCCATGACCGTTTATCGATAGATTGGAAAGTCAACTGATCAGTGCTAGATCAAAGATTTATTTACATAGACCAGGTGAAGTGAAAATATTTTTTTCTGCTCATTATGTGAAGCTTTACTAAGAAATTAAAAAAAATATGTGTATCTTTTATACATCGAACAGACATTAGCAGCAGGAGCGTCTGTTTTGGAAGGAGGCAGTAAAATGTCTTAATTATATTATTTACAGGATTCGAAGTGACAACCTTTGTCCTTTTCATCATTAATTTTCCTTGTCCTATTATTCTTTCTTTCTTTCTTTCTTGCTTGCTTTTTTCTCTCTCCATTCCTTTCTGTCTAACGTTCTTCCTTTCGTTTTTCTTTCTTTCTTTCTCACTTTTTGTTTCTTGCCCTCGTTTTGTTCTTTCGTTCTCCTTCTAAGACTGCTTAACGAATACTACACACACACACACACACACACACACACACACACATATATATATATATATATATATATATATATATATATATATATATATGAGGAACCTCATTTAAAAAGTAAAAAATAAAATATTAATATACAATCAAGTGTGTCTGAAATTTTAATTTTAACCTATTTTTACTGTTCAAAACATATATATATATATATATATCTGTGTGTGTGTGTGTGTGTAAAATTTCAGATATAACTGAAATATATATCTGTAAATGACAATATGAATAAAGACTAAACGAAAAAGTTTCTTGGCCGACGTGTTTCAACTTTTGATGGAATTAATCAATGCAAATATCTTGGCAAAGTCCTTCCAAGGAGGAAACGCGTCAGAAATATTTTCCTTTTAACTATATTCATATATATATATATATATATATATATATATATATATATATATCAAATAATTGTATACATATTATATATGTGTGTGTGTGTTTGTGTGTGTGCGAATGTGTATACGTGTGTCTGTGTAAATATGTCTGCCCCATTGATAGAACTGGGAAATCTCGATTACCGGAAGCCAAGGAGATTATGTGCCTGGATACAATGTACTCTTTACATACTCTCTAATTTGGCCCCGACAGAAAGATAAACTGTAGATTCATCTCGAAATTAAACTTGAAATAATTAAACAAGTGAAGGTGATTCAAAATAAAATATTTTGTTGCTGAATAAAACGCAAGAACAAAAAAGTTTATAAATTTTTCAAAGAATCTCCGACAAAAAAAGCTCACAAAAAGACTTCAGAAAGATCCGATAACAAAATAAATAAAAGGAATGGCCACCTTGAAAAAAACTAGGAAAACGTCTTTTTCACAGTCTTAAAGGTGGGGGGAACGTATTTTCCACTATACAATCTCTTTCCACGCAGACACAACACAGTATGTCTATCTGTTGAGATGTTGAGTGTTTCCCCGTGCGTGTATTGAAATAAGGACAAACACATACGTAGGGAAAAATACTGGTATATCCGAAGAGGTATTTACCACAGAGAGATTAGTAGTCAAATGAACGCAGGTTAGTCAGTAACAATCAGAAAGAGTATAAAGTCCAACTGTATCTTCCGGTAGAGAGACGGAAGTGTGATGGTCACCTGATCTTCCCAGAACTCTATAGAACTGTCCTATTAGTAGTAGAGAGATCAGTCCATTCTGATGAGAAGGTGGGTGCGCCCCAACACTATCACTATCTCTATTTCCATAGCAAGGTGAACTCGACTCTTTCGTTTCACCAGTTCAGACCTTTATAGCTAGAACTTACCATTCTATGGCTACGGACTCTAACGACCCACTTTTCCTCCGTATTCCATCCGCAAGAAGGAAGTTCTACACAGACAGCTTTTTTTCCCTAGAACTGCTACACTGTGGAAGAGACACCCGTGGATATGCTTCTCTGAATCGTATAATGTAAATAAATCACGGATAACTGGTAAATCAGGTAATCGGTTGTAAGTACCGAAGACGCAAAGATCTAAAGAAACCGCGGATAACTTGAAAACAATTTAATCGGTTAAAATTACGGAAGACACGAAGATCTAAAGAGACCGCGGATAAGTTGAAAACAATTTAATCGGTTAAAATTACCGAAGACATGAAGATTTAAAGAAACCGCGGATAAGTTGAAAAACACGTAATCGCTTAAACCTATCGAATAAATGAAACCTCGGATAAGTGGTAATCTAATTAATCAATTAAAAGTAGAGAATAACTAAAGTTTTAAAGATACCAAGTTCAGCTTATGGAACTAAAGTATATAAACATCCGGGTGAAGAAAGAAACAAGAAAATAGCAATAATGCTTTTAAATGAGCAAATATATACGGGGTGGCCTCGGTAAAATACCACAACATTTATAATAAGGAAAATAAAACCCTGCTCGGAAAAACGTAAATAAATGTTTTATTGCCTAGAAAGAGAACATGCTAACAAAGTATAGAAATGTGTTATATGCCTTCTTTCCTACACTGAAAAGGAAAGCTATCATTACTATCAAGTCCGGCACGTCATGTTACGAAAGGGTGTTTCTTCTCCTGACTCTTGGGTACATATTTTCTTAGCGGCGTCTAGCAGAAGACTGTGTTTCTACAGTGCGATTATATTAATTAAGGAAGAGGAAGTAAAGCTAATCCAACAGCCGTAAATTGCAGAGTATAAGGAACTCACGCGAAAAAAAAAAAAAACACTCTAACAGTTAAGTTAATATTCATGAAGAAAAATAATGTATTTAAAAATAAACAAAGATAATACTATAAAAAAATTCCCAGAGAAAGGTAGGGAAGTTCAACAATAGAGGTAATATATTTTTATTATTGTCTTCATTTTGACAAATGCTGCCAAATTTTACACTCCACGTATAATGCGCGTGTACATTTTCGTTGCTTGATTTGATTTAAAAACCGTCTCTTATACGGGATTTCCTACAATCCTCTATCAGTAAGTTTAACACGTAGAATAAGGTGTATTTTGATCTGAAAAATGAACTAACACCGAATTAAGAGCAGTGACAAGGAAGGAGATTGTGTCGAAATATTAATATTTCTAGTGTAAAATAAAAGAGTTTTCATCATTAGTTTACGGACTGATTATGTAGCTACTTAGTCTGGTACAAGGCCAAAATAATGGAGCACCATTTCAAATTCGAATTCCCTACATAAGCAAATTGTATGCCTAATGTGCTTGTTAGCTATCATAGGTTCGCCTGTAGGCGTTTACTAATCTTAACTTAGCCTGGTACAAGGTTATAAATATGGAGAATCCAGTGAGTTTTTTGTATGTAACGATAGATGATTATCTATCTATCTATCTATCTATCTGTCTGTCTGTCTGTCTGTCTATGTGTTAAGTGAAAAGAGACGAACCAGAAAGAAAAGGAAAAAATGACAAACGAAAAGCAATTGTTCTCAGTAATTATGCAATCTAACACCAGGGGGCGCAAGTCTCTCTCACAAACACTTTTATTTCTACACTGAACAGCTCCGGGCTTCATTTTATAATTTATTTTTTATTGTATTTATTGAAAGGAGTTCGTTCTTGTTTACCCAATTCGACCCATTCTTCTTTGTTTCATTAAATATTCACCTGGGTACTCTTCTCAGCAATACCAATATTTTTTCATCCATTGGGATTGCACACTAACAAACATATGACAAGAACGACATAAAGCCGAGATAATATGATTAAGAATATCATAATTGAATAAACTAATCAACGACTATTATTATTATTATTATTATTATTATTATTTCCTTGA